GTTGAAAATATTGAATAAAATATTCATAATATAAAATAATAAAATATATAGAAAATATATTGAAATGCATTCACATGTGAAAAAAATGTAAATAATAACGGAAAATACTTACTTTTTTGCAATTAGATAAAGAATTCGTTTGAAAATGTAATATTTATCTGTTGAAGAGCTAAAATCATTAAACATTTTCCCAGTAAGCTTCCTCACTGCATACGATTGCTGTAGACTTTCCGAAAAAGATGATGGTCAATTAACTTCTGACTTTAAGGAGTATACGGACGAATCAGTGAATGAAAAAATGATAAGTAATTATTTTATGATTTGTAATAATTTTATGACGAAATTTAATAGCTTAAACTAGTGGTAAAAAAATTGAGCTGAACGACAGTGGCAGTGCAATAAAGTAACGGGACATTTCAAACTATGGTTACAATGCGTTGGGTTGCGAAAGAATAATGAGCTTCGTTATAGTTTTATTTTTCATTGTTGTTCAACCTCAAAAACTGCCTGAACATGAGTAAGTATCATGCATACAAGGCGATTGTTGTACAAAGATCGAAGTAAAAAATTGAGATCATCTACAACCAGTTAATTTCTCATAAAATGACATGAAAAAGCTGCAGACTGGCACATATATTAGTCGTTTGAAAATCATTGAGGATGATGATATTAATAATTGTTTCCTAACACCTATTTTTTAGGTCAGTCAAACTACGAATGTAGTTCGCCGGTGGAATCGAAGCTAAATCCGTATGCGTTTTTCTAATTATTAAAAAAATTATCTAGTGGATACGTGAATAAAATTACGTGGAACGCAATTTTCTAACCGCACAAACGTATTCAGTATGAAATAGTTTATAGGACAAACGTAATATTTATAGAATTTATTTTATCTCAAGGTAAAGCAAACCTTACAAGACAAAACATTCGCATTCAATTGACGAAGCGTAAAGCGACGTTAAAGTTACAAGTCGAAAGAAGTACTTATACTCTATCCACCGCATTCGAATATCACTCTTTCGACGCTTTAAACGATACGACCCCTCAGGGGGGACTTCTGACGGGTGTCTGTGCTCGTCAGAAGTCTTATGGGATTTTGCGCTCCTAAGGGGATTGTTCCTGAACGGCCCACCGCTGAGCTCGCGGTGTCTGACTGCAGATCTCAGTTGTGGGGTTAAGTTATTATGTAGGCAGGATTCCTTACATTTCCCTTCTCTGTCCCTCTCGTGCGGGCGGCCGACGTCCCGTGTAAGCGACCTCTTGTTCGAGTGTCTTCGTTTCTGTTGCTTTTCACCTGTCCCTCCTTGTCACTCCGTCTCTTTGAGATGCTAACGCTGCTTCTTTCGAGCCAGCTTCAGCGGGCTGGACATCTTGAGACCTTCCGCCCCTTGTGGGTGATGAATAATTGAGACCTTCCACCTCTATGGTGATGTTCATCTTGACTTTCGGTGCGAGATAGCTTAATAGCTGAATCGCTAGTAAACATTTGGCCACTAAACTAACTAACTTAAATGATACGAACGTTTAGTAGCAACAGATAAATTTGGGGTGTCAAGTTTGATTGGAATGATTGTTGATAATAATGATCGTAACGTGGCCTAAGATATAAAATATGTCAACAGTAAGAAATTTAAATAGCTGAAAATATAGCTGTATGATCGTAAACACGGCGTTTACAATCGTTTCGCTTATTAAGTGAATTCTTCACAAAACAAAACGAAAAAAGTTCAGAATAAGTTTTGTAACACAAAATTATGCACCACGGAGAAGAGGACGAATGACTCAAATTTGCATGGCAAATTTATATGTAGGAAGATACGAATAGCACGGAGAGGCGAAAACCGAAGCTTGATTAGACGCACAGCAACGAAGACACTCATAAAAAATATAACTCAGTACTCACAGCAGTGAGGGACAGAGAGCGCATTTTCTCGTCGACGAAAACGTGAAGTCACAGACGGACGGACAGACGGACGGACAGACAGACAGACGGACGGACAGACGGACATGGCGAGCACAATAGTGCATTTTTTCCATAAACGAGAAAATGCGCTAAAAATATCGGTTTGGTGGGCACCATGCCAATCTAATACCAGGAAAGTTCAAGGATTTATTCCTGTGCAACAATTTCTCCACACAACCGAGATCCTCAGTCAGGCACCGTGCATTGGACGCTCTGGAACTACGCCCCTGGGAGAGAGTATCCTACGAGACTACGTACATGTAGGGACACGTGGAGTCTCAACGGGAATAAATAAAAGCGTGCGATTTATATTATTACCCTATAGATAATCGAAAAATTCAAATAAATAAAAGCGTGCGATTTATATTATTACCCTAGATAATCGAAAAATTCAAATAAATAAGAGCGTGCGATTTATATTATTACCCTAGATAATCGAAAATTTCAAATAACTGCAAGCGTGCGATTTGTATTATTACCCTAGTTAATCGAAAAATGTTATAGCTTCGAAATTCATTTGATTGCATGAATTTGCGGAGAATGATTTACAAATTCGCAGTGACTGTGAACTTTTCTTCTAATTTATAATGGAATTAAAATGTATGCAATATCTAAATGTCTAGCCAAGCTCAAACAAACAATTGCTTTAATTTGCAAAAGAATGCTTGTTGAGTGCATCATGCAACGGTAGACGAGACTCTCCGGTAACAATTATGTCGATTTTCGAAATTCCTTTCGATATATTTATAAACCGTGGGGCATTTAACTGTAAACATGAATTCTAATATTTAATATTGGAATTTATTATTTTTTTGTCAATTTATTATTTTTAATTTAACTCTAATATTTAATCATCATATTTAATCATGCACTCGACATCACACGTTCACAATTGTAAGCTGTGAAGATAAATAAAAAACTTTCGCAATGCTTCGATGAAATTGGTCAATCCAATTGCGTTCAATTCTACTAGATTTGTTTGCGTGGAAGATTGGACGAAGTCATTACGAAACTCTAATTTTGCAACCATGAAAATATTACTTACTTCTCTTGTTAACTTTACGTTCTCAAAAGCCTGATTCATACGAGATCTCAGTCTTTGGAATTCATGACTAACCAAAACGATCCAAATGCTGGGAGCCATTTTCATGATTTAAAAATTAAATCATTTCGCATCAACTGAGTTGCGTGAGAAAATTGATATCTTGATTGCCAACGTCTAAAAATGCTTCGAAAAATTCAAATGAATATTCAATAAAGGCAGGTAATTTTTTTAACAGATTTGTGCTGCGTGCCGGACATATGGATGTCGGAAGGCAGGATCGTGAAGCTGGCATCATCGACCACTCTCTCCATCACCTCATCGTCTCACCAACACCCCTCCAATCACCGACCTCTGACTCCCAATGTTAACCACAGTATCATCAGTAATGGTACACACGTTCCTAACCATCATCATCAACCGCACCACCATCATCACCCTCAATCGGCCTGTATGACCACAAACTCAGTTATCAACCACGATTCTTTGGGAGCAGTGAACCTGCCTTTGAAATTAGAGAGACCGACTCCGACCGCGACGCCAACCTCCAGCTTGTCCATGACTCCGACCCCTAACAGCACGCCAATTCTGCACCACCCCAACTACGCTGCCATCATGGAGCCTGTGCAGAACATGCCGCTTGACTTGGTAAGAATATTGAGTTTTTTTTTATTTTTGGGATAAAAGAATATACGTTATTCCTCGTTATTAGGATTAAGTGATAAGCATGGCAAATGATTGCGGATATGGCCGACGGTTCACCCAAGAACGTAACAAGAACGAACAAACACAAATCATCACTGAAGATGGCATCTGATCTTTAATATACATTTCTTCAACAGGTTCTGCCTAATTCGTATCGGCTGAAGTCAAGTAAAGTTCTGATGAACAAACGAGGCAGAAAGGCTGGCAAGATCGTAGAATGTTCCGCCGAAGTTCTGAACTAACCTAATCTTACTGTGATGCTATAATTCTTAACGCGTCACATTGATACGAGATGCATTTGTGGGTTGATTTTTATTGACATGGCTCATATAGGACAATAATTTCCTTGCGGGATTTTAGACCCGAACATTACCCGGGTGTGTCAAATGTGAAGAAATTCTGTAAGAAGAATCTCAGTATGCCAAGCAGTTGAATAATATTCCCTTATGCAAATCCATAATATGGCGGGCTACTGGTAAGCAATAAGCACGTTAATACTTTGCACTGAATAAAAAAGTTAAGTGTAATTCTTGCTCTGATTCTCGCCGTATTTACACAACTTACATAATTGCTAAAAAAACTGCATCGATAAAGGCCCAAATTTTTCTCAGTACATGGATTAATATGTTATGGTAATTTTCGTACTAACATATCAAAAGTGGGCCACATTCATATAGGGTTGCCATGCGCTAAATGTGAACCCGAACACCGATGAATCTCATGAAGAAAGGCACAGAATTCATCAACAAATGGAAAATTTTCTTTTAATGATCAATTTGTTACATTTTGTAGTAGACTTTAGAGCTCTCCCAACTTAAAACCATTTAGTGAAAAACTAGCACCAAGTATTTATTGCCCTTCAAATTCACCCCCGAACATTTGACATTTGGGTTAAGAAATACGTCAGTTTGCTAAGATGCATTAATCAGATGAAACAAACAATTTCCCACTTAATGAAATTATGTATTACTTACTTCACCTTTCTTAGCTTGAGAATATCCTTCGTTTACCAGAATATTCAATTGCAAATATTTCTGTACAAGTAATCTGAGCTAAAACCCTGAACTGCTAAAGAGTCTCTACTGATGCTATTTGATCCTATAATATTGGTTCATTTTTCTTTCGCTGTATAATGCTTGAATTAAAATCATTTGACATCCAATGAAAGTGCATGTTGCTCATTTCACACCAGCATATGCATGAATGAGGTTCATACGTTCCAGAAAACATTCTCACGTACACGATTTCATTCAATTACTTAAAATAAATTTTTTCAATGAAATGTTCTTTCCCGGATTACTCAGATTAAAGACATTGCCAAGTCAGTAGACGTTTTTACTTCCAAATTTTCTTTGAAACGGTTGGCCCTTCACAAAAAAAAAGATCTTAAATCTTCACAACAGTTCATTTACGTCCGAAGCTCATTTTTTGCGACCATATCGATAACTGAACTAATTATTTCAGCACATCGGGGATTCGTGCGAGAGTTCGGACACTGATCCCAATGCCAGTCTTGACTACGTTCAGAATAGCAACGGGAGCACAACGTGTCGGCTGTGTGGGGAACTTCTGCCATCCCGCAACCACTGGTACAGACACAAGTACAAGACTCACGCTTCGTCTCTGTATCGGTGTGACGACTGCGGTGTAGTTTACAAGAGCAAGAGAGGCTACGATACACATATGGAGGGCAAGCATGCCAAGTAAGAGGAACCCCTGCTGATAATACCATTTATCAGGGATCTTTCATTTATTTTCCTGCTTTCTAAAATTTAAATGGTATTTTTTCTTATAAACAAACTATAACTAGAAGTGCAATTAGTTCCACAAGCATTGTGGGGGGAATTGCGATTTAACTCGACCATTCGTGCAGGATGCTTTCAATTTAGGTAATTCTATTGAAGCAAGTAACACTCGAGATAATCTATAACAAAGTCCGTTTATTGGTATGGTACACTCAAATGCTACTAAATTTCCACTTCAAAAGTTCCAAAAATCTATAAATACGGCATTTTGGGCTCTACCGAACTACCTAACTGGCATACATGCTCATTCAAGAGTCACTGACGAATCATAGTTAAAACGCACAACCGTCCGTCTTTAAAATAAACAAGTTAAATAATCATCGCGTTGTAAAAAGCATAATAACGAACAATCACTTAAGAACGTTAACACTTTATATCATGTTTTCCATCGCGATGTTCTTCAAGAATTCGCCCCAAGCTCTGAGATTGGAGGTTTTAGTTCAGGCCTTGAGGCTTCTCTAAATGAAACCGACTAAAACAAATAAATAACTGATACCAGACTAAACATAATAAAAGTATGCATAAACGTAAAATCTACATGCTCACAAAATCTATTCACAATATTTATTTAAATATTGCGAGTAATTATGTACATCTCGTAAATAAATACTAACCCAGTACATATGTACCTCCACTCCGGCTTTTCACCGCACAATAATCTTACCAATGCACCACTGCATCCATCCGCACAACCGTACGTCTCCAGCAAAATTTAGACCAAAATACATAATGCAAAGTCTAACAAAAAACATTTTCCTAAATGAATATTTTTGCAATTATAATGAATATTATTGATTGTTAATATTTGACGGTTGCTATCCCGAACAACACGTGGAAAACTTTTTAACACGGAATTTGTTCACAACGAATAAACATAAATAATGCTGAGACATTCAATCTAATATTTTTAACATTTATCTAACGATCGGTAACTCTATAGAATAAAGGTAGAATTGAAGATTTCAAAATCTGGCTATCTTCGTTAATTAAGAACACTCGTCTGTTCGTCGGATGTCGAGTCCACCTAACTGATCCCCATAATATGTTACAATGTGAAACCTGTCACTTTAATAAGTTAATCTTGTAGGGAACGAATTATTTTTCGAGCAAATTGTTGTTAATCAATAATTAAACATGTAATTTTTGAATAAGATTTAAGAATTCTAGTAATTTTCAGAGTGAAAAGTTCATCAGCGGAGCGACCGCGCCGGCGAGACTGGGAGGGCGTCAACCGAGTCATGGAAGAGGCCAAGAGACAGCAGGAGGAGGCCATGGTGAAGGCCATCATCGCCAGAGTGAAGATAGAGTGCGCCATGGAGGGGGAAGANCCGCAGACGAATAGAAAATTAATCTTCAGTAGAGTGAGTGTACGGCAAGAAATTAGGGAACTGACTTTGAAAACCATATCTTAAAAATTCAAATTACATTTCAGGCAGGAAAATCAACGAACAACAAGAAAACAAATGATGAAGTGGGAATAAAAAGCCTAAATTTATGACGTGAGAAATTAATAATATGAGTCCACTTAATCAATCTGAGGCTATTTTAATTGTAAATGTGATTCGACCTGTAGATCAAGATTTTAAAGGAATCTACCATAGCTGAAGCTGTAGTACGTGAGCCTTGCTGGCTGTTATTAATTCAGGAAGCACAGCTCGATTCAATAAAAGAAGCGAACCTGTAACAGATATTCGATGTATCTAGCAATCATTTTCTGATAAGAATCTAGACCACGTTATCAAATGAGAAAACGAAATATAAAAATTCGAGGCTGCTCAACAAAAATCGTAGAACTTACAAAATGTAATTGGAAATTAATTTCCTAATTTTGAATTGCGCGCGCATCTATTTTCTTATGCACGCGTTAGGATCCATTGCCCAAATCGAGATACGCATCATCCGATAGTTGTAAAAGACCTCCAATACCTGTAAATGGCAGTGAGATGCATTACGGAAATTTGAATAAGGAGTTTAAGTGGGGCTGAGTATCAAATTAGGCAACAATTCTTAGAAATGCATTTTAATATGATAGACTGTTCAGTGGATACCTTTAATATAACATAGACACGCCGCATTGAACATGAACAAGATGAGAAATCTGGTAACTCATACTATGTAGATTATGCATGAAAAGTGAATCAAATAAATGTCATCAGTTTCCATTAAGGAAAATATTCGCAAGTTAACGTTTATTAAGCGGTGGATTTCCATTAAAAACCGTTGTACTTTCAAACCATTCGATGTCACACTACATTGAGTGGTTACATTAGACAATCTTTCGAGACAGGCTCTTTCAATGCAGATGTTTGAATTTCTTGTTGAACTATTGCAAGCTGCAAAAATACGAAACGTAGTCTCGTGAAATATTTAAGGTAAATATAATTTACCACTGAAATTTTTTCCCTTTTTCTAAATTTGTCCAAAATCCAGTGTGGGAGAGATGGTTCATTGAAATTTATAAGCAAATTAAATCCAAGCAATCATTGCATTATCCTGAAATCAGACGACGAAAATTCCAATAATTACATTTCTATTTTCCATTCAAATTATATCTCCCCTCTTATAATTTATGTATAAATACACTGAATGCATCGCAATAATCGCTTAAATGACAAGCGTTCAAATAAAGTTCCATTAACGCATCAATGAAGCATATCCTGTTATTATGGCTGCGTCCAATGCCAGACGACCACTCCAAGCCAATTGCCGGACTTAATTCCCTCTTTTATTAACCAAAATTTTTCTTGATATGTTCCCACTTTCCGCAAATTAAATTAAATTCCACAATTCTACTGAATGCGAGGATGAATATCATGGAAACATTTTACATCGAATTAGGTGCTTTATATAGTAAACAAGTTTGTATTATAAAATTACCGAAAACGCATGCATTTAGTTTTTTACGTTTCAAAATTTTCGGTACTTTTATTTTATAGATGAATGCGCGTATTTCAATATTGTTCATCGTGCACATGATATTAATTCTGCCGCAACCGGGCAAGACCAAGGCGGTATCACAATTCGTAATTTAAATAGATTATTTCAAAGTTGTAAAATTTTAAAATGAAAAAAAAATCAGTTCAAGTTATAGCAATTCATTGAATAGAATACTTTGCAAAATCTTCAAGCAAATCTGTTGCTGATGCACAGATGATGAAGACAAATCATGACTGCGAGGATGCTCACCTTTTATATCTACAAAGAATGCATGTCTACTAGACATGGGTATAACTATAGACCATTCGGTATAGTTCTTGTATATAGAAGAACTCGATGTTTACTCATGCAACATTGATAACTTAGTTCTTTCCTAGACGGGTATCTTATGATGAGTAAAATTTCTTGATATCTACCTTGCTCCTTCTAACTTTCATATCTAATTGTGAAGTTTACTTAGAGTAGTTCATGTTGTGACTTACATTTTTCCACTCCTTGAATTTGACGTCTTGTAGGCAAGTTTAATGACATCGTCTCGTAGATTTTTTATTAGCTAGGCACGAATATTTTGTGAGCGTGGCTGCGGCCGTTGTTTCAACTTTATATCGATATACAAGAAGTACTAATAATTTCCAATTAAAAATTTTTTTCCAAGATAAATGATTAGTACATGCTCTAGTTTCCAAATATTTAATTTATTCTACTTTATTTGTGAAATGTTTTAACAAGTTATCGTGTAACCAAATCAAAGTAGTCGTTCGAATTATTTGAGTGATTTATTGTAGCAATGTTTTTTTATTCATTGTGATATAATACAAAATATTTCTGTGGAAAAAATTCATTCGAGGCTTAATATTTTCGCTAAATCTTTTGTCAATGAAATTTTCTTAAACAAACAAAACGAATTCATTTTCAAGTAGATACGAGTATTTCATTGTTATTTCTTCTGTGTAAAATTTTATTTCGGCTGGCAGAGATATAAAATCTACAGTTAAGTTTTCAGTAAATCACTTGCTAAAACTGAGCGAAGTTCGCGATGTTGGTAATTGGTTAAATAAAATTGAATGCATGCAATATTTTATCAAGAGAGTTTACGGATCTTGATATAACTCGGAATAAGTTCAATTCAAAATATTTAATTGTGTCTCCGTTTTAATTTTCAACTATATATATTTCTTCCTTCTTTAAATGTATGATGAGAAGTTAGCGACTTTCAAGTGCAATATTTAAAACTTTCTAGACTAGATTGTTTATATAAGTTCAATTCAAAATATTTAATTGTGTCTCCGTTTTAATTTTCAACTATATATATTTCTTCCTTCTTTAAATTTATGGTGAGAAGTTAGCGACTTTCAAGTGCAATATTTAAAACTTTCTAGACTAGATTGTTTATAATTGTAGAATACAGAAGATATGGTTATACTGGTAAATGAATGCTTTAAATCGTCTTAATTATCAGTAAGACCAGCTGGCCAGACTAAGGCTAATCATGCCTTGATCAATCGAGACAGGAACTCTCTCAATTTCCCATATACAAAATTTAGCACTTTAAGAGTCTTCTTTACGACAATTTTCTACAGAACAATTTCCACATTCTTATCTTTAACATTTCTCTTGTTTTGTTTATGCTATATAAACTCAAATTTTTTCGTTCATCATGAAAAAGATCAATGATTTAATCAATAAATAAGACATTAATTCACAATGATTCACAATGATTTAATCATTAAATTAAACAATAAAACTTTTCCGTCTTCATTAAATTTAATAATGAAATATATTGTCGACAAAAAAAAAGTTCAGCGATCTTAAATTCCCAGTTTATGTCGTAAGTAACAATATCAACAGTAACAGTAAGTAACAATATCAACAATAACCATTCAACGCGATTTTCTACATTTCGTTGAAGAAGCTCTTCGATGTTCCCATAAGCATGGCCGCTGTAGTAAGAACCATTTTTACTATTTTAATTACCAATATCCATCCTCATCAGCATCGACTTCACTGTTATATATCATCTTCTCATCTTTTACCTACTTCGCTGTATCATTGTAGAAGTGATAGTGTAAATAATTATCATACTTTCCTAATTATCCTTAACGTGTTTCGTCCATTGTGCATCGTCGGCATAAATTTATTTATCTCACATTGAAATTTATTGCTCTTTAAGAATGTACAAATAACTTCTCTCAAGAGTCCTAAGAAATCGAACGTAGCGTAGAACATCTCGAGAATATTAGAGATGGTAGACTTTTTATTCGATATGATCGAATTCATTTCGCTTCTGCAAGTTAACTATCGACTTGAAATTCGCGTCCAACGCATTAGAGTAAGAGCACTAAATATATTAAGTAAAACAACAGCATAGAGCTGCAAAACTCAACGTTCAGATGCATTACGGCTATTGTCGGAAGCCTAAATAATTTTTCATTTAAAATTTTTTATGAAAATTTTGGAAATTGCAAGCTTTACAATGCTGCGTTGATTCATCAATTATGTTTATAGTTTAAAGACTCTAAATTCAGCATAGAGCTGCAAAACTCAACGTGCAGATGCATTTCGGCTATTGTCGGAAGCCTAAATAATTTTTTCATTTAAATTTTTTGTGAAAATTTTGGGAATTGCAAGCTTTACAATACTGCGTTGATTCATCAATTATGTTATAGTTTAAAGCCTCTAAATTAATTTTACTTTAAAACAAGCAATTTGTATCGGAAGATAGCACTATATAAGGTTGCTTGCATACCTCTAAATCATTTGAGTTATCATATATTAACTGCCTTCATTGTGTGAGAGATCTGAATTAATTTGGATGCTTAATATTCAGATTTTTAGACTAATTTTATTGAAAATAACTTAATTGATATGGCCTCAAACTCATGCTTTGATTTACTTCGAAAATATAGCGATTTATTAACTTCCTTGCCAGAAATCCGAAACATTGGCTAGCTTTCTTGTCAACTTTTTCTGATTAATTCAAATGAATTTACTGTTTGCGTGCAGTTTGCAGCCTCCACATGCATTTTTGCCTACAAAGCTCATTATTATAGATAATTTCTTAGATAATTAGATAATTCATTATAGATAATTAGATGATTTCTCTTCAAATAATTCCTTGTAGGGGCATACTGATCGACATTATCTACAACCTAGATGAACATTATCTAGGAACCTCTTGTTAGCTGTTTTCTTGCTAACATAATTTGTAGAATTTTTTTATTGTGTCATCCAATGTTAATTAAAAGTGAAGAATAACGAAAGGTTAACTCATGTCTCACGTGACGCTCTGTGCTGCTTAAGCTATGTGACCAAAGACTACTCTTAAGATCTACTAATTCCATAGACTAATCAAACTTCTAATATACAATTTACTGCTATATGTGTCTAAAATAAGTATCGTGATTTTAATTTAGTAAGTCTTGTTAATCTAATTTATGAAGTTAACATGACGATGGGAGAACTCTGATGCATGTACATAAACCGAATCAACCTGTCAGAATTCTCTCATGGCATTCTCCGTAATCTAGTTTCTCCTATTTTTTAAGTCATCAAGCACGTCATAATTTTTACATTTTCTCACTGATCCTTATAGATAGAATTCTTCCAGTTGACATGCAGGATTTACAAGTTATACTTTAATATTTAACAACAAAACATAATTTTCGACAGAAAACCGTTTTTTGAGTGACATAGCGCTGGAATTTTCACTCTATATTGTTTAAATCTTTCCTTAAATTCAATATCAAG